AGCGATCAACACCCGCAGACAACCATCCCTGACGATAACACTGGGGTTAACTCCCATATATGGCCCATTCTTGAAGGGAGTTCTGTTCTGGCAAGGAGACACAGCTGACTCCTGGACACCACCGATGGACACATACATGGTGGGAGCGATGAGTGGAAATCCACGTGAACTCCCATTGTGGTGCGAAGCAGCTGTGCCGGTTTAGCCAGGTGGAAGAATCGCTGTGACATTGTATACTCCAAAAGTAAGGTCAGCATGCAGCCATCTGGCAATAAGAAATAGCTGAGGAACTCTATATACCCAAGGATATGCAGTTCTTCAGCCAAGACCAATATAGAAAGGTAGCTTGCAGTACCAGCAAATGAGATGCAAGAGACCAAAGCTGCATGGCTTAGTGCTGGCGAGGATTTTGTTGTTCAGTTGATTTTAGCAAGTTTAAAAGAAGAAGAAGAAGTAATGAAAGTGATAGTTGACCAGATACAGCCTCAGTAGCATAGTTTCCCCACAGTTGAAGCCTTCCTGTGTGGATTGTGCCAGGCAAAGAGTAAGTTATTCAATCATTGCTGTGGAGATTGGTGAATAACAGTGGCAGCCAGCTTTGTGGCTGGCACATTCCCAAGTGCCAGAGGAGTGAGACCTCCAAGCAGAGCTCTCCACTCCCAGCTCCTTGTGCATCTACCCTGACTGAATCTCATCGCAGAAAACCACAATGATGGAAAAAGAGATCAGGTACAGAGGGAAGGAAAGGGGCAAGAGAAGCCAAACAACAGGGCTGTTGCACTCCCCAACTTTGGCTGATCCACAGTGGTCCATTACCCAGGAGCCAAGGAAGTAGGAAGGAAGAATGGAACTGAGAAACAGTAGGAGAATCATCACTGATCCCAGGGTTTGCAGTATTCCAAGCTGTGGCTTGCTCAGCCTAGATCTTGGCAAGTTCCACAGATTGGAATGAATACAAGCTTCTTTGATGGGAAAACTCATGCTCTTAGATGCTGACAAGAACAACGATAGAGCATTTAGTGTTGGGTAGAGCTGTTCAAAGTTGACTGGGAGCACCACATGCAGCTTTTCCTCGACCTGGTTCCTGAGCTCAGCACTCACAAGGGAGGTGAGTCCATTTTCTGTCCAAGTCTTGGATGTGTCAATATGACCCCCCAAGACAGATATGAGTGTATCAGCATACACTGTGGAGAAGTCACCTGGGTTTGTAATAGGTCCAGATGCCGCAACAGCACAATCTACATTGGGATCCGCGTTTGTTGACTGAGCTTCATCAGTGCTTCCTGGGAAGCCACCAAAAGTTGCTTTGGCAAGGCCGGTATCGAAAACACCAATAATTGGAACAGAGTTTCCTTGTCGCTTGAACTGTAAGAGCATTGAAGATTCCTTCCAGTCACCAACAATTGTAGTCTGCCTAATCTCACTCCTCTTCAGCTTGCCAGAGGTGGTCTTGGGTGTTACACCCAACTTGAGGACCACTACCTCAGAAGCTGAAAGTCCATGCACTTGGGATACATGGTTGGCTATTTGAACAGCCAAATCCTCATTATCTGACTTGTCAAAACCTTTGCGGCCCTCCACAGTGATACCAACACTCGCATCTCCATACTGAAAAGCACTGGTTCTTCCTGGACGGATTATGTCACCAAAAGTTTCATCAATAGAGAGCTCTACATCAGTTGGGTAGTAGTTCTTTCCATTGATGATGATGACATCTTTGATTCTGCCAGTGATGTACAGCTGCCCATCCACGATCTTTCCCAAATCACCAGTGTCAAGCCAGGTGCCGTCATAGCCAGGCAATGCATTGGCAAAGGTAGCGGTGGTTAGCTCAGACTGTCCATAATATCCGGCAGCAACTCGGGGTGACTGGGCCCAGATACTTCCAACTTGTCCATCTTCAACCTCTTTTCCATCCTGGACAATTCGTAGCTTGAGGGTTGGGGAGTCAACTTCTCCACAGCAGACAAGGCCTTGGGAGTCTGCTTTAGCTGGCCCTCCAGTTACAAGCACAACCATTTCAGCCATGCCATAGATATTGTAAACATGCTCAGGCTTGACCAAAAGAGTCTTTGCCACTGCTTCCACAACATTGTTTTGGGCGGGTTCCCCACCAAACATGACACGTTTCACCCAACTCCAGTCCGCTTTCCTGTTGGCCTGCTCCAAGCGCTTGAGGAGCAAGGCATAGGCAAAGTTAGGGGCAGAAGTAATGGTGGCTCGATATTTCTCGACCATATCAGTCCACAGTAATGGATTGACAATGAAATCCAAGGGAGATGCCATAACAAGTGGTGTTCCAGAACAAATGGCACCTGCAATACACGGCTCTTAGCCTTATTCGCGACTCGATCCTAGATAGGGTTTGAGTTCGACTCATGACTGAGTCTCTCGTGAATAGTCATTTGAGACAGGGTTCTCAATGACCGCGCTAGTCAACTAGGTTGATGATGAAACTCGCTCTAGATATTTAGCTTAGCGTGGAGTACTTCCACGCTACTAGATCCAGGCTAGACAAACCTTCCACGCGTTCCGTTTTATGATCGTGGAGAGAGTAGGATTACTACCAAACCTACTCTTTCACACTTACATGTCTCCCCGGGAAGCCAGATCTACGATCACTTGATGATGATCTCTCTCGTTGATTAGTTTTCATAGCAATCTCTCTCATAACTTTCATTCTCAAACTCAAAACACTCGAAAGTATTTACACTAGCTTTTAGCGTAGTGCATTTTGTTACAAACACAATAGTTTCAGCTACCCTCAACCTATTCCTTCCATGGAAGATTGCTCAAGGAAAGCATGGAGTTCAGCAACCTCGAGAAACAGTTTGACGTGACAAACCATTCTACTCTCGTCGAAAATGACGGCGCGGATATCTCTCTTTTTTTT